ATTGACTATGGGCAAGTATCTTTCCACTCCAGACTAATGTGATATTTAGATTGCGAAATCAGAGATGTGCTATGTTTTGTTGTCAGGGATCCTCAAACAAATAGATATGTATGTAAAGAGTATAAAATAAAAAATAAATTTAAAAGTAAATGCATATATAAGTTTAGAATATTTTTTCATTAAATAAATTTCATTGATACATGCATTAGTATATTGAAAAAAATTTTACAGAAATATTTAAAACTAGCATATTATAAGATTTCTTATAAAAATATAAATAATCAGTATAAATATTGATTTATTTTTATTGGGTTACTGTATTTTAGAAGTATGATTACTCCTAGGTTATCTTTAGATAACCCATTATGTAATGTTAATTGTTTTTTTAAGTTTTAAGCTTTGAACAAGATGAATAGAAGATGATCAAATATGTATATGAGGTGAGAACAACAATCGGAAAGGTAAAAACTTCTATTTGTTAATTTTAATTTCTTTCTTTAGTGGTTTTTTTATTTTAATATTCAATTGCTAGTGTTAGAAAACAAAATAGCTGAGAATTGATTTCCACCGTTTTACCGTACGTCCCTATCTTGATTAATTCCAAGCCCCGGGACGGATTGTGACACTAGCCATACCAACAAGAGGAAATATTGGAACCCACCAAAAAGAGAAATAGTGAGAGATTTATCAACTTCAGGAAATATTTGTTGAGATCGATGACAATACTTAGAGAGAAATTACTATCGATCATGATATGGAGAGTCAAAGTGAAGAAAAGGGACGAGGATCGAAATCCCTTTTATAGTGAGGACTTCAGTGATGAAGACAGAACCTGACACTTCGGAATTTATTATCAGAGGAAGCCGAGAGAGGAAACGACGAATAGAAGAAAGATTTCAGAATAAAAGCGAATTTAACGGAGTTTAATGGAGGTATGGATTCAAATGATTTCATCAAATGGTTGATGTCGATCGAGAGAATCTTTGGGTAAAAAGATGTGTCAGAAGTCGAGCGTGAAGCTTGCAACCATTAAATGAAAAAAAAAGGTCTCCTTATGGTGAGAAAATTTGCATAAGCAAATAAAGGAGGGCAATGACAAGATTACCGAGTGGGAGAGAAAATACATACCGCCTCATTACCGACAAGATGTATTTTTGAGACTCCGCCTAAAAAAGAGAAACCTATCAATGGAGGAGTTTACGGCACAGTTTGACAAGCTGCAGATGAAATGTGAATTAGTTGTTAGAGGAACATTCCATAGCCCGGTATCTGCGGGGCCTGAAAACCTCTATTAGCAACGTTGTGGAACTGCTGCCCTATTGATCAATGGGAGATATCTAGACTTTAGTATTGAAAGTTGAGAGAGCAAAAACAAAGCAGACAACCTCCACAATTCAGACAGCCACCTGCAATAGGGGACTTCAGCAAGAGCGTGCCTCGTGGAGTTGAAAATACTGGTCATGATAAGGACAGAGCTACTCAGAGTGAGAAGCTTGAAAAGACTAGCACACACACTACAGTTCAAACCCCAAAATGCTTTAGGTGTCATGAATTTGGGTTCATCTCCTCCAATTATCCGACGAGTAGAGTTGTCCTTTACCAAGCAGGGGACAACGAAAGAGGTTGTGAGTACCATGTTGCACCAAATGAGGGCGACAAGCACATGGTCTGATGGATCCTACAAGTTGAGGATACGAATGACGCGCAGTGGCTTCGAAACAACATATTCTACACTGTTGTTGTGTGAAAGAAAGCTATGCAGTCTCATCATCGATGGAGAGAAGATCAAAAGCATGACATCTACGGAGATAGTAAAAAAATTAAGGCTCATAACTTACAGGCATTCTCAATCGTATTCTCTGACGTGGTTGAAGTAGAACGGGGTCGGCATTGACAGAAGATATCTGGTGGAGTTCTTGCTTGGAATCAAGCCACAGGATCAGGTGTATTGTGATTCCATGGATTCTTGTCACCTTTCGTTGAGGAGATCATGACAATTTAACAGTAAGACTCAACACGATGGGTTCAGGAATACTTAGTCTTCACCGAGGATGTAAGTGCATCGTTCTTCTTCTACATTCTGCGGAGTTCGAGATCACCAGTGCCCTTATTAATAAAGAAGTGTCGGTGGGATTAATTTTGGTTACAATAGAAGATAACAGGATTGAAACGTCGACTCCGAACATGGTGTAGTCACGACAAAGAGCATTACAATCGATACCCTACCACCATGACCACTACAATTCGGGGATATTCAAGTTACCCTCACTTCAAATCAATTTATAACAACCTTGGGTTTTATTGGGAGAATTCAATAGATGACGCGTGATGCAAAGTCCCAGTTTAACTCAATAGTGTAATCCCAAAAAGTTGGATTGAAATGGATGTAGGCTTGTAAGTAGACAAAACTCTACTATTTTGAGAGATAGTGAGGAGCTACAAGGTCGCAGTGAAAGATCCTTCAACCCCTAGAGGTTATAGCAACTTCGTCATGTCAACGTGCAGACAAAACTTTTGATGAATGAGGTAGAAGCCCCCCTAATGCCAAGAGACTGATGTGGGGCTAGGGGCTAAACCAGTTGGGAGGCTTGTTGAACCGGTTCATCGCAATGCTACAAGAGAGGTTGGTTGAATCCTTGCTTTGGGTTAGGGTTGCAGCTCAAGGGGAGGGGTCTTCCCCTCTAGTTATCTTCTATTATATATATGTTATTTTTTGTTTTTAGGGTTCAGTTTTCTTCCTTTAGACTTTTTATCGGCAGCATCTTTTTCCTTGCCAGAGATGTATCCAAGAACAAGTGGTGCACCGACTGTTTCCTACTCTACAGGGGTAATTATCTCCGTGTATCCCCATCCCCTGCCCGTCTCCTTGTTGTTTTCTTTCTCTCTCACACCTCTCGTCTCACTACCACCAACCTTCTGCCCATTCCTTTGATGCCACCAACATTTTGTACCCTTCTGCTCCAGCCGCCAACTTCCCCATCCTACTGCTAGCCTCCCTCAAGTCACATGTTATCCCCATCCAACTACAGGCTTGCCGCAGCCTACTCACAACCTGCCCCCTTCCAATCGGTCACCAACTCCCCTTCCCCTTCACCACCCAGTCACCACTTTCTCCCCACCTACCACCACCCTATTTGCATCCTTTGAATTTGTCAACCACTACCCCAAGCCACATCACCACTATGTAACGTCTTGATCTTAAAATTTTGTCGAGCATTCATTCTAATTTGTCTAAAACCAGGCACTACTGCAAAAACTCATACAGCGTATTTAGATACATATCTTATTTAGTAAGATCAACCCAAACTTTTCATGTGTTAAACAACCTATACTTTTAACTATATTTTACACTTAATATATATATGACTACATATTTTAAAGTCTATCATTAGAATAAACCAATAAAACATTAATTACCTTTTAAGTATCATCTAGTTATCACTTATCAATATTGTCTCCATTTGACGATACTTTTATTACTATAGTTTTTACTTTTAATAACACAATATCACATAAATTTTCTAAAAAGATTAAATGTATTATTATGTACATATTCAAAGAAAATAAACCCAGGATTACATCTATTATAAATTAACTTTTTAGGCTTGATTATAAAAAAATTGAGATTACTTAAAATGATGTTATTTTTATTTTCATGTCCTTCCTAATACAAATAATCCTGATGTCAATCAAAATTCACATAACATCATTCTTCATAATTTTATAAAGACGTCAGTCGAAATTCACAAATATATTTCTTCCTAATCTTATAAAATAAACATGAGTAAGAAATAACATACAAATTTTTAATCATTATTTTTAAAAGAAAAATTAAGGAATTATATAACTTTTGACATCACAACAATTTAAATCTAAAATTTACTTGCTTAAGGGGACTTCATCTATCTTCTAAAAGAAATTGTAAGCTAAGTTTGGATTTTACATTTTCAACAAAAAGAACAAATAAACCCTAGACATCTTCCTTCTTGTGTTTGTAGTTAATGCTATCTTGAACCTTAATAACAGAGTATTTTGTTTAAGCGCTCATAAGAAATCTAAATTTTAATTTATAATTTCAATTTGATAAGAACTTGTGTCAAAATTAAAGAGAAAGTTCCTTAACCTTCATTAATATCCATGTGCAACTACCATTCGAGTAGAAAGAGACTCTTCATACATCTGCATCGGTTCGGCCAGACAAAACCCACCTGCACCTTACTTGCCCATATGATATTGGTTCATTCATCTTTGCTACAAGCTTGCTCGCATGGGAACAATCAATCAATACTCGTCACTCAGCCGCTACACCAGTTGTCACTCATGGATTCCTCCCCACAACTTATGTAATAAGAATATAGCCCTCTTCAGCTTCTTCGACTCCCTCTTTCTCTCACTTCACTCACTAGTAAGTCGAGTCACGCTACCTCGACTCCCGATATCAGTCTCAATTAGCACAAGGGATTGTCCCCTTCAACTGCTTTGCCTCACTAATAATAAGTATCTCATATTCTCAATCCACCTTCCTAGGAAATGAAATCGCATGCGGTCACTCCCTCTCCCTCTCCCTTCTTCCACTCATGTTCTTTCTAGAAGACAAAGCCACTTGACTTCGCACAGAAACATCACCCTAATAATGAGGTGTTACACTCATTCACTAGATCAAAATATCAATTAAAGCTTAAAAATAGGTAGTGTTGAATAAGAGCTGATGAAATTGATCAAAGCCCAATCCATGCCTCATTTTGGCTAATTTATCCATGCACAAGAGCTAATTGATGGTGGAAACAAATCAATGGGCTAGTTCAGTTAATTTAGAAGTAGTTGGACTTGCTGTTCAACCTAATATGAGTTGGTTCAAGCCAAGCTTTATCCCCTGAAGTTGTGTCGAGATCCAAAAATGACAATGGCGATCAAAAATAGCATTTTTTATGAGCACAACAATATCAAAATTATTAACATAAAACAATCAGAAAAAATCAAGTTTGCTGATTCAGTGATACCTTCCCGCTGAGGCAGCGGCAAAGAACTTCTGAGTTCTCCGAACATAATCTGGTACAATAAAATGTGTAGCCTCGTATGACCAACTATGAGAATCCTTGCATATCCTTCCTCTGAGCTGTTTTAATTTTTTTTGGAACTCTTTTCTCTGACTCTTATGACCACTTAATATAAACCACCTAGGCTCAATCGCAGTGCTTAAACTGCTTAGTTTTGTAAATGAATTGATATTATCTCTGCTTGAACGTTTAACGCTAAGGTTCTTTTTGCATATTTTTTTTACTTTTTGATCACAATCATTGCCTTCTTTGACAAACAATTTACAGTTATCTTTCAGCTCGTTCTCCTTTTCCTGGTCAAGTTGTTTTGTATATAGTGTACTAATGCTAGAGTTGCTTACAGGTGCATAACAATGCTCCACTTCTTTCTCCTTCATCGGTGAGCCATCCTTCTCGACCTTTTCATTCAGATTGTCCACATCACCCAATTCCCCAATGCCATTTCCTAATTTAGAGGCTGTCTTGTTTGAATTGATGCTTCTGAGTGGATCACTAGAACTTTTATTTTTACAACTTTCTCTGCTTAGCTTAGGCCTGCAGCCTGTACTACGACTAACAAGCACTTTGCAGTTGCGATGAATAGAGACATCATTTGCTTTGCCTTTCGTGCAAAATCTATCAATCTCAGTGCAAACAGAATCTTTTACCTTAGAGTCCTTCAATGCATATGAAGAAGCATTTTGGTTCTCACCTGGTTTTTCATGTTGTTCGGGTGCTTTATTGTGAATATCAGTCTCGCATGTCATTGAAACACCATCAAAATCGTGAGATTTAATATCTGCTTCAGATTTTCTTGTTCTTTTCAAAGGTGCTTCAAGTACCCTCACGCTCATAGGAGCTTCGTTTACGTTTCCACCATCAGCAGCCAATGGTGAACGAAGGAAGTTCGACTCATTTCCCGTGCTTCTACCCTCAGCCAGCCCAGTCTCATTATTTAGCGGACAATCTGAAAGCACCATAGCTTCAGGAGAAGTAATGCCATTCATTGTTCCAATTCTAGATACAGGTTCATCAGTTGCACACACTGTCCCATCCAATGCTGGCATAGAAGGAACGCTCAGAAGTTCATCCTTACTATTCAACTTTGAACTGGAATTACCGGATATATTAGCTACAGAAGCTGAGTTCAAATGTTTAAGAAATTTCCTGTTGCGGGTTAGGGAGCTGGATTTTGACAATGAACCACGTTTGTTTGCCCTGGGTTGTGCAAATGAAGTACCTTCGAAACCATCTGTACAAGTAAGACCATGATCAATCTCAACATGTGGTGCATTCATATATTCAACTTGTCTGGGCCTCATACTTTTAGGACTTCGTTTGATACAAGTTCCTGAGTCGTGCTGTTCCAACTCTGGAGACCTTTGACAAGTACTTGAAAGAGGGAACCTTTCCATTTGATGAAATTTATCCTTGCCTTCTGCCATGTGGCAGATACCCGTCCTTGCTTCATCACGCGCAGGTGTATTTTCTAGTTCTCGTTGTTGAGGCATAAGAAAATCATATTTTGCCAAATTAAATCCTTTTGGGGCATCCAGTAAGCCAGAGTCCTGATTTGATTTTATTGATTTTAAACTAATCATTGAATTGGAAAGTTTGCGCTTACTAGGCGATACATGAGTTTGTCCTTCCACGTATGTCTTTTTTAAACCGTTTATTGGACTACGTAAATTATCGGATATGCAATTCTTTGAAGCCTCGTCCATCGATTCTGAAGAACTAACATTAACATCATCTTTTCTTACTTCTTCAGGTTTTCCTTTATCAAGGGTGCACAAGTTATTAAACTGTTCTTTCGGTGAAACAACTTTCTCAGTAGTTCTTCTAGAGTATCCTACAGAATCCAATTTCCTGTCGTCTTCACAGGAAGTCATACCCACCGAACTGTTCCTTAAATTGGAGAGCAAACCATTACACTTCATGTTTAAATCTACAAGATCTGGAGTATTTGGCTGTTTGCTATTGATGATACCCATACCATGATAACCAGGAAGTTGTTCAGCAACGCTGCGATTTACATCAAGTACCCCACTCTTGGAATCACAAATATAAGTAGCTTTTCCAGAACTGTTTCCATTGGGTGAATTAGAAATCAATTGACTATCAACAGAAAGATCAGATGGCTTCGCAGTTAAAATATTTTTCTTCAGGCCAAGGTTTCTAGTGTCCACCAAAGTACCAGAACCAATGGTAACTGACATTACAGCTGGAACAGTAGGTGATTCTGCACAACTTCTCTGCACTGTAGCCTTTTTACAAGCATCCGCAGCTTCTTCTTCAGAATCCATAGCCTCAGCCTCAAGCATCTCTAACTCCCACCCACTGTTGTGAAAGAATCAGAACCGTGTCAGAATGGGAAAGAGAAAATCGTTGAACTGAATAAAACGTGAAGCTGTAAGTTTAATGAATGTAACCGTTTAATAAAACAATACAGAAACACGAAAAGGACAGGTCAAGAAGATAAGTTTTCAGAGAAAGAAAAAATAAAAGCCTTTTTTTTAAAGAATTTGCATACTATATTTTAAATATAATTAAAGAAAGCACAATAGCAAATAGATAGATAATGGATGATGATAATGAAGGCATATTGAATAGCCGTTTAAATTAGAAAAACTAATTAGTGCCATGAAAGAGCATGAGAAAATAAATTACTTCCAGTTAGTTAGGTAGACGGGTATCAAATGGGAAAAAAGAGCATGATCAATGCAATTCTAGCAATTCATTAATCAGTCATATGCACATAATACCAATTCAAAATTTTTATGAAACTTTGAATAAGCATAGAGGTTTAGGCCAATGAGAAGCCTAGACCCCCCAGATCAAATTCAAAACCTAAACAGTGCATGCTTTGATTAGCAAAGCCCCGCCCTCAAACAGATAATGAATAAAAAAAGAGCTTATTAAAAAGAACAGGGCACCTCATTTAGAAAGAATCTTAATATAGATATTTGAAATGTGCATAGCATAAGAATCTATAGTTCTACCCTTCCCAATAGAGAAAGGAAGTATAATGCCAGGCTCAAACTGCAAGAGCAGTTTTGCATCTTTACTTCGAAGAGAAAATCAAATACTATATTTTCAAAAACTCTGAGGATGCACTTCACATTCAATTTTTAAACCACCTTAAACCACCAAAAAAAAAAAAATTAATAAGGTCAAATAGGGATTATCCAATCTCATAAGCGCTTCTAGAAACCATATCACCCTAAATACTTCAGACCAGTTATGTGGATCTTCCAGCATTCTTGTTAACCTTAAGATGAGATGTCATGTTGATTCCACCATTTTGTTTAACTCTTTAACATTATCTCTACCTAAATCTATGGCACTTCTAGCCTACCATGTGCATGCTCAACTTACTCAAATCAAAATTTTCACTATCTTAACACCACATGGATAAGAATTACATAGCCAAAACCTATTTATTTTGTGGTTTCATTGAAAAACATAAACATAAAGAAAACAACATTAAAGAAATGTAGAGCAAACATAATTAGGGTGAAAATCAAAAATTATTTCTGTGAAGAGAAGAAAAGACTAAAGAAAGACATTAATTATAAAGCGATATATAACCACCTTCAAGTAATACAAAGGATTATTGTATACACTAACCTTTTTTTATAGCTATCGATTGGCAGGATCTCCCAAGCCTTCAGGCTGTAATGAAATAATGAATCAGTAAATGTGCAAATGCTCTGGGGTAACTGAAAAAATGAACCTAAATCTTGCAATCGTTAAGTTTATTCAATAGATGGACATAGCTTAAGCATACCAATCCTCCAGCCATCGATGATTGACAAGCTTTATATTAACTTTTCTGGCAAGTTCATATTTTTCACCTACAAAAGTTGAGGCATCTTGTAATAAGTTCAGATTCAAAAAAGCCGAACCCATATTAGTTCAAAGATGATAAACATGATACGATTCAACATTGAAATCAGCACAAATTTTCATAAAAATTAGGACAAATAAAAATTCTTATTGCAATAATCTAAACAACTCACACAAATACAAAAGATAAGCACCTACAGTTCGAGAGGTAGGCAATCTCTCTCACTTCCTACAATTCGAGAGGTAGGAAATCTCTCCCAAAACCTCACAACTCAATCTCATGCATAAAAAATAACCCTAGACATAGCGAGCCTATTTATATCCGACAATAATCATGATACAACAACAACAACAACAGAACCTTTATCCCACTAAGTGGGCCGGCAACATGAATCCTTTTCCTCCATTGCGTCCTATTTAGCGTCATATTTTCATTCAATTCTAATAAATTAATATCATTTTTTATACAATATGCCCAAGTCATCCTTGGTCTACCTCTGTCTTTCTTAACATAAGTCGAATCTAAAACATCTACTTTTCTAATTGGATCCTCCAATGGTCGACGTTTAATGTGACAAAACCATCTAAGACAACTCTCTCTAAATTTGTCTGTCACTGGAGCTACACCAACCCTATCACAGATATATTCCTTTTGCATTTTGTCTCTAAGTGTAAAGCCACTCATCCACCTAATCATTCTCATCTCGACAACACTTAACTTAGTTTTATGCTTCTCTTTTAAAGGCCAACATTCAACGCCATAGAGCATTGCAAGTCTCAACACCGTCTTATAAATTTACTCTCCAGTTAATCTTATATCCGACAACAATAATCATAAAAGACTAAATTACCCTTAAGCGTACAAAAGACAAATTTACTCTTAGAATCGTCATCTGATTCTTGTCTTCCACCTTCTAGGCTAGCTCTATCATCTCCATCAATCTCTGTGGTATTAGTAGTCGGAGTGTTGCCCATATATGGGCTTCAAGACCTTCATGAAATTCCCCTCCAGTCTTGCTTCAGAAATCCCCAATAGTCGTTCTGACAATAGTTTAAATCTCTCCATATATTCCATGAACGTCCCCTCATGAGTCCAGGCATAAAATTGCTCGTGTAGGTATCCATCCCGAATGGCTCGAAAATGTTCCAACAAGCAATCCTTACATTCATCCCACGAACGAATTAGGTATCTAGCTCCCCTCCACGGAAACCAAGCTAAGGTTTTCTCCTCCCAACACAATCATGCCACCATGAGCTTCTCCACCCCATCTAACTAGGGCTGTAAATGAGTCGAGCTTGACTGAGCTCAGGCTTGGCTCGTGTTTGCCTCGTTTGAAATTGCTCGTGTTCGAAATCGGCTCATGTTCAAAATAGGTTTTTGTGTTCGGCACGAATTAAATATTTGTGTTCGTGTTCGGCTCATTTTTGGCTCGAAATTATCTTGTTCAAATTAAATTGAAAAAAAATAAATGTAGAGTGTTGGCTTCGAACCTGAACCAAATGTATGCAAAATAAGGCACATAACCACATTACCACACAAGTTATTATAATTTACAATTAGATATAAATATATATAATATTATTCTATAAATAATATATGTAATATATTATTTCGAGCTAAAATGAGAGCAACACTAGCGAACAAAGAATTGCTCGTGTTTGGTTCGTTTATAATTCAAGCTTTAAAAACGTGTTCTTGTTCGGCCCGTTTACTTAACGAACGAGCTGAACACGAGCTACATAACGAGCCAAACATGAGTTGTCCGCAAACAACGAGCTTTTTTGACAGCCCTACATCAAACTCGTTCATTGTGAAGTATCACTCCGTCTGATACACCCACCCATGTGTGTCTTTGCCCTCAAAGATCGACATATTCAACTTGTTAACTCTAACATCTCCACCTCAATTTCTTCTGTTGTTTCCCCCCATGTATCAAGGGTAAAACTTCTTCCTTCGACCGTAGTCATATCCCCACTTTGCTTCTCTCCTTCTTCTTCGTGCTTCTCCATACCTCTGGCATAATCCCTTCTCTATGTTTTGACCCAACCGCCTCCATCAAAAATCTCTAATACACCCCTAATCGGAGCCCAGAGAGGAGGTTCGTGATGGTAGATGTTTTCTTCACATTCCTCTTTCCCTTTCAATCTTGCCACAGATGCTCCAGTCAACATTTGATTAGGATTTGCAAATTGAGTTGTTGACAGGTTTTTGGATTACATCTCAATGAGCCATTTTGGCATTTTTCGAATTTCGTCCAAGCTCTCATATTGATCCTCCAGTTCTTATATGATGGTTAACATTTCTTCAATCCCAAATTTTATTTAACCCATCTCTTCATCCAGTTTTTTCTCCAGATCATCTATTTTGTTTGGTGTCATCTATTTTAGAAAAATTGTCGATCTCAAAAAAAAAAAAATACTCTGAAGCAATTGGAAAGGTGATTATGACATCATTGTCCTCCCAGTTACACATCGTGATTCAGATCGCAACAGCATCACATGTGAGGAAAAGCAAATCGCGAGCTTCGGGTCTCGATAAGCCGCCTCCCCGTTTTTGCCTTCTCATATAGCTCTGATCGTGAATATATCTCGTATACGGCACATAAGGAAGAAAAAAATGGGAGTTTCGGGTCTCTGTACGCCGCCTCCCCATTTCTGCCTTCCCAAATAGCTCTGATAGCTAATTTATCTAGTAGACAAAACGTAAGAAAAAGAAAATTGGGAGTTTTCCCCATTTTTGCATTCTCAGATAGCTCTGATCGTGAATATATTGCACAAACAGCACCTAAAGAAGAAAAAAATGGGAGTTTTGGGTCTTTGTAAGTTGCCTCCTCGTTTTTACACAATACAACTCTTGTGAGACTTTCTTCCGAGGTAATGCTACCAGCAAGCCACAATCCTTCTCCACCACTCAAATCACATTGTAATGTCGCCTCCAGGTCGCAATCCGGTTGCTGCTTCCTTTGGAGGTCCCATCGGCCTCAATTAGATCATGTTTGTCCGTGATCTCCCAGAAATTGCTTTGATGCCAATTCATACAATTCGACTTTAAAATCCACACCGATTTGTATAAAAATTAAGGCAAACAAAAAATCTTATTGCAATAACCCAAACAACTCACACAAATACAAATAATAAGCACATCCAGTTCAATAGGTAAGCGATCTCCCCTACTTCCTACAATTCAAGAGGTAGGAAATCTCTCCTAAAATCTAAACCTAAGACTCATAACTCAATCTCATGCATAAAAACTCACCCTAGACATAACAAGTCTGTTTATACCCGATAATAATAATAATAAAAGATTAAATGATCTTAGGTGTACAAAGATAAATTTACCCCTAGGCTAGGCGCCCTCGTAACAGAGCAATACAAATAGAAACATATGCAAATACCTATTATTGATCGAACGTCAAAAATGCAATGTCATAGGGCTCTCAAAGATTGATTTCACAAAGAATGTCAAGGTGTTTGCAAACAGTTCTCTCCAAGGACTTCAACTTAACTTAGTTCATTACATTTTGGTCTGGTTTTGGATAAAATCCTTTTAACTTGTTTTGTGAAATACATGTCTCAGATGTCTTATTTATAATCTAGAAATACCCAAAAATTGCAATTCTCGAGAATACTCCAACGCCTTGACTGCAATGACAAGTTTCAACTAAAATACCCAAGATTCCAACAAAGCATGCTTCCGAACTGAATTTCAGCAAAACAAGCAAATTTCCACTCCAGGTTTATATTTATTTACTTTTTTTGTGACGAGTTGGTAGGCAGCTGAGTTGTTAGTCGTAAGACCCCTTTAACATGGGTTTGATCCCTATGGGGACTGATAGCACATTATTTTATCTAGTCTTCTGAGCAAAATGAAACCTTTCTTTTTTTTTTTTTTTTTTTTGTAGATTTATTTGAATGGTGAAAAGCAATGATAGGAAAATGGCCAGTGCTAGAGTATTTTTGCGAACATCACGAAAACAAAAATATTTTGATCAGCTTAACTTCACTAACAAAATAGGCATATCTTATATTGTGCAATTATACCAACATTAGTTATCTTATATCCATTACAACCTTACTCGCAATAAGAAAATTTAAGTGTATAAACTATCGCTCAAAAATATCAATATATATATATATATATAAAAACAAACAAACAAATAAAGCACACAGATCAATGATCGAAATTCATGTTTTCCTTTAGTGTCACACTAACAGATCGGGTAGATTTGGGAATATGAAAGAAAAATTAAAAAAATAGAAATAAAATATAAGGGCACCCTCCCAATGATTAAGCATGAAAATGAACTAAAAAATGTTGCAGAAAATATATTCCCTAGCTTTTAATTCAGTAAGGTAGAACTAAATATAGTACATTCTAGTAAAATTAATTGCAATACCTTCAAACTTATAGCAAATGAGATGAGTAACTTGGTTTGCTATCAAAGGCTTTGAAAAACGTCCTCCCATCAAGGAAACCATTCTCTGCAAATCAAATGAGAAAACAGGTGTAAGAACCCTAAGGACAACTTTCCAAAAGAGCATACATGATCAAGAAATAGCTTTCTAGCAAGGAGATGTGCAGGTCCCGAAAGAACCTGTAGAAGTCCCTTCTAAGAATGTAAGAGAGGGAGTTCAGAGTCAAGTTGAAATATTTGGTTCATAACCACCGTCAAAAAGATCATGAAGTGGAAACCGGAAATTTGTGATATGCATCCTTGTAAATGGTGAGTAATTTTCTTTTTATGTAAAACCAATTCAAAATTTTCAACATACTTCTATTTTTATTTTTAAAAAATAGCTCTATCCCCTTGTATATTGCGTCACAATTAAAAACTTGAAATAAATGGACAAACAAGTACTTCCACCAGGAAAAAGAAATATGTTTATGTGGAAAAAGAAAAATGTTTATCAACTGCAGTCCAGTTTGCTCGCCCATCCTTTGGTCTGAAGCAATGAATGGTGCACCTGACGCTTACAGCACTAGATGTGTTGAGCGAGTTTGTGTCCCCTGTTTATTACAGCATACATGATGCATGGCTGTAAAAGGCAGAAAAGGTAGGAAACACTCCAGAAGTGGAAGTAACAAATTCAGCATACTTCTTGATAAAATTTCTGATTACTTGGTTGTTTCTCTCATTTGTGACACTTCTGAAGAACCTAGCGCAAACCAACAAAACTGGGAGAACAAACTCAACCTATTTCTATGCTCTACTGATTCTCCAAACCCATTGGAGAGCAAAATTACATGATAAGTTGGTTAAAGGAAAAGGTTGCTTGAAAGTTTCTCCTTAAATTCTAAACCAAGAAATGTTGTAGAATATGCTTATATTTAAACCTTGACCACATGTACTCCAATAATGACCCAAGCATAAAATGACAGAATTTGAAATAGATGAATTTGTATTTTTAATGATTAAGCCAATGAAAAGTATATTTAGGTTTAATCAAAAAGAGAAGTTGACTCCCAAGTACAGTGGACCATTTAAAATTATTGAAAGAATGTAAAAAGCTTACAGATTAACATTGCTAATAGAAATGTCTGACTTGCACGATATTTTTTATATATCAATGCTCAACAAATGAATTATCAACATAGAACAGAAGATAACTAATAATGAAATAGAAATAAAAAACAATCCAACTTAGATTAAAAAAATAACACGAAAGAAGATTAGATTTTGATGCTAAAAAAACTAAAAAATAGATAAATTCCTTTAGTGAAAGTGAATTGGATACACAGATCAATGAAAGAAGCAACTTGGAAAAAAAGAGCAATATATGAAACAGAAATTTACTCACCTGTTCAGCAGATTATGAAAAAACGAATTCTGACGACAAATTTCCTAAGAGGGAAGAACTACACTACTAAAATATTTATAATGTATACATGCAAAATACTCTAACCAAATTATACACCAAAACTTCAAATTTTATGAAAGCCATAAAAAATCATTCCATTGCAATTTACACTTAAAAAAGATCATTTTAAAATATATAAATATATGATAGCTCTCAAAAATTTTAAAAAATATCAATTAGTTTTCATTTTCATTAAATTTTCCTTAATTTCTTTTTAATTTTAATGTTCATGTGTATTGTAGCTGCAGTGAAAATCCAATAAGCAAGCGAACGCCTTTTTATATCAAAATCCCCCTTACAATAAGCAAATGAACGCCAAGGCAAAAATAAGCAGACTGAAACACTGAGGAAAAGAAGAGTAAATAGGATGAAGGGAGAAGAGCTAAAAGAGAAGAAAAAGCCCAGAGTTTTGAGGTGAAAATATGGCTTTTTTTTTTGGGTAAATTCTCCAATACAATGACTTTGATTCAAGTTTGATATGCATTGACTTGTATGACGAGTAAAAATTTGAAGGTAAAAGAATATATAGAGAATGAATTGAATTAATTTGAGTTGAAAATTTAAATTTAGTTTAATACGAAAAATTTATTCATTTTAGCTTGTTTAAAATGAATGAAGTTTCGGGATATGCAAATTCTGATATAGAAATCGCTTTTTTTTTAGATATTTTGCATGTGTATTTTTATGTAAATTAGACTGATGAGTCAATACAGTAAAATTTCTGATATTATAAAAAAAATTTATGACTTGCTACTCATAAGTAAATGTTCACACATAAATTATGACAATACAAACTCTTAATTATATGTATAATAATTATATAAATGTTTTGTTAATTAGTGACACTTTTTAAATGCAAAGACATGATATTTTTAAATTGATCATTTGTATATACAAATGTTCAGCATACTTATAATGAATCACATGTTTATTTAAATGTTCAATGATGAAAATGCATTGAGCTTAAAAAATAGCATGTTATGAGGGGATAGGATGGCAAGGACTAGCTTACAATATATGTATAGGTACGGTGGCTAAGGTGAGCCATAATAAACATGATAATAAGCAAAAGAAAAGCAACAAAGGTGCACCTAAATGTGAAAATTAAATATGAACACGTAAAATAACAAAAAGTGAGCCCAAAGAAAGATAAAAGAGTATCCAAGCAAATATGTTTATGAAACAGGCACAGAAAAACAATAATGTGTGCTATTAAATAATAGCCAATGAACATAACCCCACATAGATGATATATTCTAAAGTAGGAAAGAAAACATTTCCTTATATACTTTAATAATTTAAATAAAAGAGAAATAAATTTATAAAAAAATTGAATTAGCATGATATCACATATGCATATATCAAAAATAATGAATAACATTTTAAAATTTTAATATTATTTTAAAATTTTATTTCAGTGAAATATTTTAGTTATTATGTTAAAATTTATTTCAACCAATTGTTGTTGAGATAATTTTATTTTACAATGATTATAAATTTTTATAGCAGCATGTGTTATTTATTTTAATTCTTAGACTATTTAAATTTTATTTTAATAGTTGCTTATCTTGTTGAGCTTCTAAACTCATCACATATTATGTTAAAATTTATTTCAAAAAAATGGGGAAAATAAGGCTCAGGTTGAGTAACAATCAAGCCCATTTCGGTGATTACATTTTATTATAACTATTGTATGATAAAAGAGTATCAGAGTAGTGTATCAAATGAAATGTATGATATATATAAGAAACTTATTGTATATAGATGCTTAGTACACGCATAAATTATTTTTTTTTATTACCATCATTTAATATGATTGATTGATTTTAAAGGATATTTGTGAATTATAATAATGAGTAATATAATATTTCAAAAATATTTAAATGTATGAGTTTATCTCACTCAGTCTATTCCGATAAGTAGGATGCCAAAATAAGAGTTGGAGGTATATTCAATCAACAAGCTCACACCCGCCACCATTACGTCCCACATTGATTTAAAGAGGTTCATTCATTCATGATGCCTCAAAATGCATGAGATGTTGAAACACATCTCTGCTATTAATTTTAAATAAAAATTAATATATGAATAAAAAAGATTCTATAAACAAATGAATTCATTAAAATTCCTAAATTTCCAAAAAAAAAAAACTTATAAAAGTTTATATTTTAAGTATACACTCTATGAAAAATCAAATTATATGATTTCCATCAAAAAGTACACTTCTCAAAATTCCCCAAAAGTTTAAATCAATACAATTTTATTTAAATTTTAGGAGTTTATAAATGTTAAGAAAAAGAAGATGAATTTGGACTTCAAAGGGCTTCTCATGACCATTATGGTTACCTAATGGCCAATTTATAAGTGCCTATATTTATAATTTCACACTTAAAATAAGATAAATTATCAATTTGCCCCCAAAATAAGAATATTAATAAAAAAAAGACATGGGAAGCCAAAATTATAAAATTGAAAAGACAAAACCTTCTTAATCATCATAAGGTGCTAAAACAATAAAACCACCACCATAAATCATAACAATTAAATCAATCACTTAGGTATCAAACCATCAAGCCCACTAAATCATCGATTTATTGCTCAAGTTTAAATCCACAATATAACAATTAATTATTATGAAATTGAAATGTGTCTTATTAATTATTTTTAGAATTCATCATTGAAATCTTCAATTTAATAACTAATATATCATATGGAAATTGATGTTAAAAATTTAATCCTAGCTATTATTATTACTATTATTATTATATAACTTTAATGAAATCACATGATAACTTAATCAAATGTGATTTCATTTCTTAGACTATTCTAACAGTAATGAATTATGGGTAAAATAAACTTTAAAATAAAACTCTAACCACACAAAAAATAGTTCATGCTGTATCCAATCTTCCCCACATGTTCTGTCTCAGGAAATCAATTACTCAATTTGGCGCAAACCCGCATTATCAACACCTAAGCTCCGCTTTCATGCACCCACCCATTCTACTTCTTGATAATATCTTGCTTGTAAGCTACTCTTGCTTGCACACTACCCTAGTATAGAGGTGTAATTGAGCCAAGCCGACTCGGACACACTTGATAAGTGCCTCATAAGCTAACCTCGATAAACTAACAAGCCAAGCTCATGAGCCGGCTCTTTAAAAAAGATTAATAAAAAAATATACTCAAAAAATAATAAATTTTAAGACTATCTCTAAATTCATAAAAATAATTAAAAAAAGATATTTATAATTATTCATTATATTTGTCATTTTATTATAGCACTAAATTAAATTAATATTAGTTTCATTATTTTATAATAAGCAAGTCGGCTTATTAGCCAGCTCAAATTCGAAGACTTAAGCTCGAGCTCGAACTCAAACTCGATTAATTTAATTAAGCTCAAGCTGAAGGTGACTCATATTGAGGGTGGCTCAAGCTCGACTTGACTCGTTTACGCTCCAACCCTAGTACACACCTACTCTACTTGCTTGGTTGCGCTTGCTTGTGATCGACACAAGCCCTTCTCTACTCATATGCAGCTCAAGTCCTCACAATCATGTGTGGTTTTTGCTTGCAACCAACGCTTCTCCTACCCTTGAACTTGATTCCACTTCTCATCC